CAGAAGTGAGCTCAAGCTGTCTTTGGAGTAAAATCAGGTTGCTTGTCACCTGTTGCACAGTAAGTTGTGCCAAATTGTTATAAACTGACTTCTCTCCTGGACTCAGCGGAAGCAGGTTAAATCAGGCAGAAACCGTCTCGTTATCATGACAAAAACTAAAACAAAACATTTGGCTATTTTGTGTAAAAGAAGCCGTCTACGGAAATGTACGTTGTTCTGTTGTAGCGCTTGTTTCAGTGGGGTGCTGGAGAATATCTTTTTTGCGACATGGTGATGGAATGCAGCTGAAGTTGCCGTTTCATTTGACGCAACCTATCGCAGCCGCTAGAGGATCCTTGTAGTTGATAATAATATCTCCTTATCGGCTTCTAAAGTACCGCTAAAAATGGACCAATCACAGCGCGAGATATTGTGACCTCACACTCTCATCCATTCCCACGTTTTTTATGGATAACGGCATCCGTTCTGCTTTCAGAGATCGGTTTTCCGTCACATTTTGGATGACCATTAGCTGGTCATGTTACTGTGGTTGAAATTATTCTTTGAAGTGTTGTAAATTTACGATTGCCGCTGTCTTCTGCTTCATGCTACCACATATCTACACAGCTGAATATCCTAATTTAACTTCCATCTTGATACAAACTGTCGAAGGATGAGCGACCGCTCGTCGTTTAGTCGTTTGTACGTCGTGCACAGGTGCAATTAGGAGTCCCCATCCTATTCCTTAGTCTTCGATCAATGCAGCGACCACGAGAACGGTTTCCGCCCAACCGCTCTCTGTCAGGTTTTTCCTACCACTAAGCCTTATGCGCATGCACTATGTTCTCTCTTTTGCTCCTAGCCCATTTTGCTCCGGGCACATAATGAATTCAAGACCCATCTACGGCATCGGTTGAGCGAGCTCGGGGTGACTGCTGATGGAGGTCCTAGACAGAGGTCAGTATCTCTTTCGCTATGACTTCTCTCGCCGATTCTTCGATAAATTTGCACTTTTTTCTACCACTGATCCTCTTTTGTTCCCTTCTAGTTTGGTGGATTCCGAACTCACCTTCTACATGAGCCAGTTCCACCGTTTGACCACCCGCCTGTCGAAGTTCTCGGACGACTTTATAGATGTATGGCCCACGAGCTAACCCATCAACCCCCCGTCTGTGAAATCCTTCTCCTGGTCTTTCATGGGTGTCCCGCCAAGATCCTGATCTGTTTGTGCTTTTGTGACAGTAATTTTATGCACTATGTTTTTGTCACACTCTGGGGGGACGACCATTTTCCACTCCCCACATCATTGGTCTTTATACTTCTTAGTCTTTCAGTTATTTTCTCTCGCCCTCCTCCCCGCTCTCCTTCCTCTCCCCACACCTGTATGCTGTGCATGTGCACACCATGACCGATGGTTTCATTTGTTGTTAATCAGCCCTCCCTTGTTTTCTTTTCTTATTGTCGACATACATTGGTCATGTTAGTCGCTCCATTTGTCTTCACGTACACGATTTCCTCTTTGTGAGCCTGGACTGGTGGACAAATGCTACTCCGTAGATATGCACACCCAGCTGACTCCTTTGCAGGTTTCAGTGTGCAACTTCTAGAAAGTTTGAAATCAAGTACAAAAGCACTGGTTGCTAGTGAACCAATCACTGTACAGCGTTCCTCTCCT